GTGTGAATGCTGGTTCGGCCCTTGTACCAGTTCTGGTTCGTTTCGACAGTATCTTTCACTTAGAGATGAGCAACAGATGGGCCTAACCGGACCCGGTTTCCCTCAGGCGGGGTCGGGTCGCGTCGACTTGGGTTAGGTCGGACAGAGGATATGCCTGAACCAACTGTCTTAAAGTGATTGGGTCGGCATATACCTGGGGTCGGCCGGGTCTTTCCTTGCGTAAGTGTGACCCACTCCCCTTTCCATCACAGTCTCACTGCTTTCTCCTGACTTATCTAGTTTCATGATCCATATTCCTCAGAAAGAATCATCAGCATTCCTCTCCTCATCCTAGGCCATGACCTCTGGAGGCTCATATTGTCGGGCAAATCTGTCAGACTACCGTTTGGCAAGAGTCACGGCCCTTGTGCTCGCCCATAGTCAAACCCCATCTTCTGTTTCTTTCTTGCTGTAACTGGATGCAATGACAGGGCCCTTCAGATTAACCGGCTCACGGGTTCAATCCCTGCAGAAATTTGCTCACTACGTCTTCTGACATACCTGTAAGGCTCCTCTCTGCCGCATGAGCATATGTCCAGGCTGTGACGAGCCGGCGGCACAACGAGCCGGGGCGGCAGCTCACCCGGCTCGTGGCTCGTCCGTCGTGGGCGAGATGTATGAGCCAATACGAGCTAGCTCCTACTTTGATAAGCTGGCGGATACTCCTGGATGAACAATGCTCGTCGTCACCACCTCTCGAACCCGTGCACATCGGACTTTTACCCGCCAGATCCGCGTGGACGGGGGTAATATTCCCGCGTCGACTCGACAAGCCTGTCAAGGCGCGCGCAGAGTTCAGACCTATGCTAATTTCTACTCCCTACTATGAACAGTTCAGACTTTTTGGGGTTTGAGTTTTACCCGTTGAACACCTGATGCGGCCATTAGATGGGTCAAGCGGGCCCCATTTCAGGTCAAGGAAAAAGCAAGGGCTCATTTGTCACGTTACGTAAGTCAAGCTGCTTTCTCCTTACTGCTCTAGATTCCTATACCAATTATCAGGATAACTCATCAGCGTTCTTCTCCTCATCCTATGTGATATTTGGAGTGGAGGCTCATATTGTTGGGCAAATCCCCGTCCTTTGTTTGACACGAGTCGATGCACATGTGCTTCTCCATGTTAAAACCCCACGGTTTGGTTCTTCCTTTGTGCAATCAACTGAAACGACAGGTCCCTTAATTTCAATCAGCTGACGGGTTCCATCCCTCCAGAAATTGGATCATTGCCATCTCTCTCATCTCTCTCATCTCTCGTCCCTATCCCTTTCTTATCTTGGTCTGGTCTGGTCCTGCAAACACACAAATGGTGTTGGAACCATACTTCCCATGCATCCACCCCCTACACCACCAACAGCGCCCTCAACGGCAACATGCTGTCAGGATCTGTGCCCTCCTCGATCACAAAGCTCACTGCTCTTACTGTCCTGTAACTTGGTTCCACTACCACTTGAGCAATGGGTTGAAACGACCCGCCCGGGCCGTTTGCTCAATCCTTCCACGTTCCTGAAAGTGTCGAGTGGTGTGCGTATCCGTAGTATTGTTTTCCTCTTTCGATAACCACTGCAAGTTTCGCATTAGAGAAAAGTAAGCCACCGTGGAAATATGTGATTGTAATGAATGCTATTCCTTCGTTTGACACGAGTCAATGCCCTTGTGCTTCTCCATGTTAAAACCCCATGGTTTGGTTCTCTTTGTGCACTCAACTGCAACGACAGGTCCTTTAAAAGTAATCAGCTGACGGGTTCCATTCCTGCGGAAATTGGATCATTGCCATCTCTCTCATTTCTGTAAGGTTCCCCTCTGCCACATGAGCATAAGTCTGGGCCGAGCTGGCTCGTCTTGAGCTGTCACGAGCCGGAATGAGTCGGATCTGGCTTTTCCACGAGCCAACTGCCGGGTCTTCCGCGCAAGTTCTCCGAGTCTGGCTTGTCTAGACAGCAGCCGAGCCTCGGAGCATGATTGTTGGCTTGCCGAGCCAAGGCTACAAGCCGAAGCGGAACCGTCGGCTCAGACTTATGCTCATGTCATGAGCAAATAACCAAGCTGCTGTTCTGTTTGATGCAAATCGAACCTCGGATTTTTTTTTTGTCAAACATAGCATTTCGACTGGTTCAATCGGTTCGACTATCTTAAACTATTCTCCTCCCCCCCACATCATAAAAGAGCGTCCTAATGGTTGGTCTTTAGTTAAAATTAGAGTTGAGCAGGTGACCCGGCCCGACCCGACCCGACCCGACTTAGCCGGGCTACCCGGACTCTCGGGTCGGGTCGGGTCGGGCCGGGTCGGGCCGGGCTCGGGCCAGACCCATGAAAGTTCTGGCCCGACCCGGGCCTACACCCTCGGGTCAAAGGGGACCCGTGGTCGGGTCGGGTCGGGTCGAACCAGGGTGACCCGCCCCTAATGGGGGGGGGCTGGGGCTGGTTTTTAGTACTACTGTAATCTCTCTATTATAGTGAATTATATTGTGCATGATACATTGTATGTCTACAACTGGAACTAGTGATGTTTGCATTGTCTGAAGAGTTGTTTCGGTGACTTGTTCAATGGAGTTCTTGTTGAATAACTCATGGAGTGTGGATTCATGAAGGTTCTTTGGGTATTTTGTTTAGGTCCGCTACTACAACTGCATGAATGTCAAACACACCACACTATCTATTAGTCTGCTAATAAAAAACTCACTGCTGCAACTATGAATGCAAGCTACCAATCAACAAAGTTGTTGCTAATAAATAAGAGTGCAGTGCCTGGAAACACACAATGGCAAATGTCACTGCACCAAATCTCCTCCAGCCACCGTCTCTCACAACCCCAGCTTCTCTGCCTTGATGCACAGCTCTGCAATAGTGGTCCTAGTGCCACCACGAAACTCCAGCCTCTGCCCAGCGTGATGATCCTGCCATGTCTTAATCATCATGGCAGCACGCATCTGCTGCGGGCTCAGACGGTGTCTCTGCCACCAAATGATGTTCCTGCTCTGACTGAATGCCCGCTCACTCGCTGCAGACGTGGCAGGGATGCCCAGGTAATCGCGTGCCATGGCCCTAAGCCCGGGCAGCTGCAGCTCCCTTCCGCGCCAGTACGCTAAGGAGCACCCACCCTCCTGCCTCGACTCGGCTACATACTGGTCCACCTCGTCCTGTGTCCGCACCCCCTCATCTGCCTCCATCTCTGCCAGCTGAGCAAACAGCCTAGCCTGAAAGTCGAGCGCGCCACGCGACCTAGACCCCCTACGCCCCGCAGCCCCGACCACCGCCGCTCCTTGCCCCGCCACTCCCCTAGCGCTCGTGACCTCACCCCCAAGGCGTGCCTCAGCTGCTGCACAGGCCGCTGCCTGGTACGGTGGAAGGCGCTCGCGTACTAGCGTGTTTCAATTGGTCTCTAGGGCAAACGTGTTTTGAGGGCTGAAATAACGATTTTACCCAAGTATTAGGGCTAGTGTGCGGTTAGGTTAGGGCTGGCCGATCCGAACCTGGACTGGTTTGAATTGAACCTAACCGGACCATATCTGGTTCGGTTCGAACCTGCCCAGTCCGACCAGTATTAGTCAAACTTTGAACTGGGCAATCTTCTTTCTGGTTCGACTCAGACAGGTTTGGTTCGGTAGACTGCCCATGCCATCCCTTCTAGGAATGAGCAAACGAGCAAACCCCTGTTTGGTTCGACAGACCTGTTCGAGTCGAACGCAAAACGTGCTTGTTTCAAACAATATACTGTTCGGGTCAAACATGTTCGCCTAAAACACTCGAACTGTGTCAAACATGAACATGTTCGAGCGTTTGAATTGTCGAAATCGAGATTGCAGTGGAACGTCACTGGAAGGGGGGACCTCGAGGAGGACCTGGAGGAGGCTGTGGAGGGGGTTGGAGGATGTGGACAGGGGTGATGGGGCTGTGGAAGGTGGGGGGGTGTGGTGGCTGCTCTAATCGAACACATTTGAGTTCGAGTCAAACACGTTGTTGTTCGACTTTGACTTAAACACCTATTCTCCAAACTTGGTTCAGGAACTCTCCCTCTCAATCGATGCGGATTGACTTGACAAACCGGTCTTGTTGTCGCTCCACCATCGGCAACCAATCAGTCTTCACCGTTTCAGCCACGTCTCTCTTTCTGGACAGCACGTACACCCAAGTCATGCAGGTGTAGACGTCGACTATGGTAAAGAAATACTCAGCTCCAAGCTTCAAAGGGCCCACCACATCCATCACCACCTCATCAAGTGGTCTCTTAGCCGTTGGTAGGGATGAGCATAAGGCGAATACGAACATGTTCGTGTTCGCCTGGGCTCGAACATGGCCGTTCGGCGAACCGAACACCAGAAGGGTGTTCGAAGTTCGCCAAGAGAGGCGAACATTTCGAACATTTTGGCGAACACGAACACGTTCGCCCAGAACATGTTCGTGTTCGCCTTAGAGGGGTTGGCACTATAATGCTCTAGATTTAAACACTGCCAATGCCAATGCATCATTGTCTATGGGATTAGGGTGTTCTATATATTTGCTAGACCATCTCAGTGTCTGTAATTACTAATATGAGCCTGGCCAACTTGTAGCAGAAAACATGTCCACATTCCAAAGTCTACCCAACACAAACTCAACATGGAAACGTCACCAACGCGCCGCTCGAGCGCCCACTAACCCACAACTACATCCCTGTCCCACCCTCACTACCAACACCACCCTCCCCTCCACCCGCTGCTGCGTCCACCCCTCTCCCCTCCCCCACCTCCTCCTCCATCTCCACCGAAGGCGCCTTCTCCACCTCCACCTCATCCCCCTCCTCCTCCTCCTCCTCCTCCTCCTCCTCCTCCTCCTCCTCCTCCTCCTCCTCCGCCTTCGACTTAAACACCTACTCTTCAAACTTGGTTCATCTGAGTTTGAGACAAACACGTTCGGGTTCTCCAAACTCACAAATGGTCTTGGAACCATTCTTTCCATGCATTCACCCCTCACTCCACCAACAGCTCTCTCGAGGCCAACATGTTGTCAGGACCTGTGCCTTCCTCGATCACAAAGCTCACTACACTTACTTTCCTGTAACTTGGTTCCACTTCTACTTGAGCAACGAGTTGAACCGACCTGCCTGGGCCGTTTGCTCAATCCTTTCATGTGCCTAGAATGGTTTTTTCTGGTATGCGAATTTTATCAAAATCTGATTTTTGTTCTTTCCATAGTATTGTTTTCCTCTTTTAATAACCACTGCAATTTTCCCATCAGAGAAAATTAAACCACACTAGAAATATGTGATTATAGCGACTAGTCCGGACGAACTACGACTAGTATTTGACGAAGGCGAAACGTACAAAGTCGGCCCAAGGGTCGGCCAGGCTACAAGTCAGCTTGACCCGTACTGATTGGAACTCGACTCGGTTTGGCTATCCATTAGGCTGGTGAGGTTTGAATCAAGTCGGCCCAAGATTGACTCCTGTTGCTCATGTCTAATCTCATGCCAGTATCAGCGTCTTACCTACCTTCTCACCCATTTGTCAAACTCCTTGCACACCCCCCACGTGTCTCTTGCCTCCTTGTCTTGGACAGTTCCCTCTCTACCAACCAGCTCACCAACTCCATCCCCACTGACATTGGCTTGCTGACAAATCTGGTATCCTTGTAAGTAGGGATGAGGTTCAGCCCGGGTTTAGGGATGAGCAAAGAAGCGCACACCTGTTCGGTTCGTTTGAGGCGAACCGAAAAGGTTTTGATTTTTAGCTTAAATTGTTCGCCGAACACTGTTCGAGGTTCGGCCGAACACGTTCGTGTTCGTGGCGCTGCTGCTGAACGCCCCGTGTCGAACACGAACGTGTTCGAGGTTCGCTTGAACACGCCTTCAGAGGCGAACGCCGAACACCCTCTTTTGGGGAAGTCGTTCGGCGAACCGAACAGTGTTCGGTTCGCTGAACGGCCATGTTCGTGCAAGGCCGAACGCGAACATGTTCGGGTTCGCCCTTTGCTCATCCCTACCTGGGTTGAACCAAGCCAGGACGGCAAGATAATTGGGCGACTGGTTCGGCTCGACAAGGGATGGCTGAGCAGTTCCTTGGCCTGGGTTCGGCAATGAGTACTTCGGCCATTCCTTTGTCCGGTTCGTGTTCGGCCTGGGTCACTTTCGAAAAGTTTCAAGTTATAATGATCTTGACTAAGTTTTTGGACCCACTTTGGCGGAGGGAGGATATGCTGCCCCAATGGTCGAGATCTTGCGTGCAAACTTTCCAGATCTAGTGCAGCTTGCCTTACATTGCATTTGGATGGTTGGGATTTCTAGGTTTAGAGCGAACCGGAAACGGTTCGCCTCAAACCTGGAACCCGCTGGATAGACGTGGGCAAAAAGCGAGGCAAGTAATAGTCGCCTCGGCTTTGGCCCACTCGTAACGAGGTGAGGCAAGTATTACCCGCCACGAGTAATTTTTTCCCTCGCTCGACTCGCTACTCGCATAAAAAGGCGAGTATCATTTACTCGTTACAAGCAAATACAATACTCGTGGCCATGCAATAATGCTCGCCCTGGCAGGAACACCCCCGAGGACACACAAGTTAACATAAAAAAAAAATCAACCGTGCCTTCCTTGTGCAGATTCCCCAAGGGCTGTGTTTACTAGATTCGAGTTCTAGCCGGTAAATAGTAGGTTTGCCAGTGCGATCGCCCGTCAGGAAACATGTCGCAGCAGAGTGGGGTGGGTACGGGAGAGGTCTAGATTTCTTACCAAGTCATAAGGTGCAGAGATTGTAGAGGTTGGGTTAGGTAGCGGGTGTGTTAAGTGCGGTTGGGTGATGCAATGGAGTTGAAAAGGAATTGGTGGTTCTAAAATAGCCTTGTTTGATTTGAAGTCACTTTGTCGCGCAGAAACACACATTGTAGCAAAGAAACAAAGGTCGTGACCAGCCACTTTCAGATTTATACCCCTGCTTGCAAGTCACGGGAGGTTCATGTTGGGACGAGTAAAACTGTATCTGCGAGTATGTAACTCCTCACGTGTACGATTTTTCTCACTCTTCCAAGCGAACCGGTTTGTGTAACGAACCGGTTCGGTTCGTTGACGAGCTGGGAGGAAATTAAACGCAGTTTGGTTTCGGGAAAACCGAACCCAACTGCACCAAACTGGACCGCGGCTCGGTGCCCTTCTCATGCCTAGTCAGCATATACACTGGCAAATCCCGACCCGAGAGCTGGTTCGGGTTGGGTCGGGTCAGGTTGAAATGGTCGGATTGACCCCACCAGAGGAGCAACATGACCTAGCCAAAAGCCCACGTCGGTTCGGGTCAGGTTAGGTCTTGCCTTGCTTAATTGTGCCCCATTCCCTTTTCCATCACACTCTCGCCGCTTTCTCCTGAATTACTAGTTTCATGTTCCGTATTCCTCAGAAAGAACCATCAGCATTTCTCTCCTCATCTAGTGCATGACCTCTTAAGGCTCATCTTGTCAGGCAAATTTGGCCAACTACTGTTTGGCAGGAGTCACTGCCCTTGTGCTCGCCCATAGTCAAACCCCATCTTCTGTTTCTTTATTGCTGGATGCAATGACAGGGCCCTTCAGATTAACCGGCTCACGGGTCCAATCCCTGCAGAAATTGGCTCACTACGTCTTCTGACATACCTGTAAGGCTCCTCTCTGCCGCATGAGCATAAGTCCAGGCCGTGGCGAGCCGGCGGCACAACGAACCGGGGCGGCAGCTCACCCGGCTCGTGGCTCGTCCGTCTGGGCGAGTTGATTGAGCCAGTACGAGCCGGATCCTACTTTTATACGCTGGCGAATACTCGTGGATGAACAATTCTCGTCGTCACCACCTCTCGAACCCGTGCACCATGCACATCTGACTTCTATCCGCGAGATCCGCGTGGACGGGGGTAATATTCCTGCGTCCAATGACAAGCCTGTCAAGGCGGGCGCACAGTCCAGGCCTATGCTAATTTCTACTTCCTACTATGAACAGTTCAGAATTTGTGGGGTTTGAGTTTTACCCGTTGAACACTTGATGCGGCCATTTGACGGGTCAAGCAAAAAGCAAGGGCTCATTTGTCACGTTCCTTAAGTCAAGCTGCTTTCTCCTTACTGCTCTAGATTCTGATACCTAATTTCAAGAAAACTCATCAGCATTCTTCTCCTCATCCTATGTGATATCTGGAGTGGAGGCTCATATTGTTGGGCAAATCCCTCCGTCCCCACGAGTCGATGCACATGTGCTTCTCCATATTAAAACCCCACGGTTTGGTTATTTCTTTGCGCACTCAACTGAAACGTCAGGTCCCTTAATTATAATCAGCTGACGGGTTCCATCCCTGCAGAGATTGGATCAGTACCATCTCTCTCATTTCTGTAAGGTTCCCCTCTGCCACATGAGCATAATTCTGGGCCAAGCCGGCTCGTCTTGAGCTGTCACGAGCCGGAATGAGCCGGATCTGCCTTTTCTACGAGCGAACTGTTGGGTCTTCCGCACAAATTCTCCGAGTCCGGCTCATCTAGGCAGCCGGGCCAATGGCTTCACGAGCCAAGGCAACAAGCCGAAGCGGAGCCGATGGCTCAGACTTATGCTCGTGTATACTCCCCTCCCTACTATCTCGTCTCTTGACTTCCTCACCTCCTTTACCTCTACATTTCTTTCCCGTCTCTGACTCCATCCCATTTAGCCATGAGCAAATCAAGCTGCTGTTCAGTTTGATGCGAAGCTCGTTTTTGCCAGCCTGTTTAAGTCAAACCTAACCTTTCGACTGGTTCAATCGGTTTGACTATCTTACACTACGGGCAACCCCCCCCCAACCCCCCGGCGCCCTCCCCAGCCCCCCCCGACACCCCAACCCTCCCCCCCCTCCCCCTATCCCCCCCCTCCCCCCCCACCCCCACAGCATATAAGAGCGTCCTCATGGATGGTCTTTAGGTAAAATCACTAAGTTTTCAATTGGTCTCGAGGGCGAACCGTGTTTTGAGGGCTAAAATAACGATTTTACCAAGTATTAGGGCTAGTGTGGTTAGGGCTGGTCAATCCGAACCTCGACTGGTTCGAAACGAACCTAACTGAATAAATTATCTGTGGTTCGGTTCGAACCTGCCCAGTCCGACCGCTATTAGTCGAACTTTGAACTGGGCAATCCTCTTTCTGGTTCGACTCAATCAGGTTTGGTTCGGTAGATTGCTCATGCCATCCCTTTCTAGGGATGAGCAAATGAACGAATCCCTGTTTGGTTCGACTCAAACCTGTTCGAGTCGAACCGAACTGTAATAATTTCTTAGCAAAACGTGTTTGTTTCAAACTATGTCGCAAAAGGCGCTCAGGGCATCCTGCGTCCTGCGTCCGGACGCAGCGTCTAGGACGTAGGACGCGGGACGCTCACCAAGACGCAGGACCCTTGACAAGTTTTTTTTTTTTTTTTTTTTTCGGACTGACTGTGTGTTTGTTTGCTTGTTTTTTTTTTTTTTTTTTCGCGATTTCGACGCGATTGGCAGGTTCGCCTCATGTCAACCCTCCCTAACCCATTTCTACCATCAAAAACATCCCTAGTGGGTTTAACACAGTTCTCCTTCGTAAACCTGAAACCTTGAAAATTTGAAGTGGAAATTGTTGCCTCAAATGTGTGCAACGTCGTTCCCCCCCCCCCTTCCCGTGCCCTATAACATGGTTTTTTGGCTGCCCGGGCATTTTTCTGCACTGCTCGGGCATGCGTCATTTTTAGCGTCTCACATGGCCCCATGAAGCGTCCTGCGTCAAGGACGCTGCGTCTGGACGCCAGCGTCCTAGACGCAGGATGCTTCTTTTGCAACGTAGCTTTCAAACAATATACTGTTCGGGTCAAACATGTTCGCCTCAAACACTCAAACCGCGTCGAAACCCGAACATGTTTGAGCGTTTGAAATGTCGAAATCGAGAATAAAGTGGAACGTCACTGGAAGGGAGGGGCTAGAGGAGGAGGGCCTGGAGGAGGCTGTGGAGGGGGTTGGAGGATGTGGACAGGGGTGATGGGGCTGTGGAAGGTGGTGGGAGGAGGGGGAGGAAGGGGGGGGGGGGGGGGGGGGGGCAGGGGGAGGGGAGGGGGGGGGTAGTGGGGGGGGTGGTGGCGGCTGCTCAAACCGAACACATTTGAGTTCGAGTCAAACACATTGGTGTTCGACTTGAACACCTGTTCTTCAAAATTGGTACTACCCAGATCGAACGTGTTCGGTTCAAATAAGGCACGCGTTTGTCTGAGTTCGAGCCAAACACGTTAGAGTTCTGCTCATCCATATCTCTTTCTTATCTTGGTCTGGCCTGGTCCTGCAAACGCACAGATGGACTCGAAACCATTCTTCCCATGCATTCACCCCCTACACCATCAACAGCACCCTCGACAGCAACATGTTGTCAGGATCTGTGCCCTCCTGAATCACAAAGCTCACAGCTCTTACTCTCCTGTAACTTGGTTCCACTTCCACTTAAGCAACGGGCTGAACAGACCTGCCCGGGCCGTTTGCTCAATCCTTCGACATTCCTAACAGTGTTGACTGGTATGTGAATTATATCAAAATATGAAAAACAAATTCCATATTGTTTTCCTCTTTTAATATACACTGCAATTGTTTCCATTGGAGGAAATTAAACCACCCTGGAAATATGTGTTTATAGCAAATGCCGAATGCTAGTCAGGACAAACTAGGACCAGTATTTGTCAAAGCACCCTAGATATCTGGCGAACCGCCATTGCCCAAACCCATATTGTCGGCCCATGGGCCGGCCAGACTAGAAGTCAGCTTGACCCGAACCGACTGGGACTCAACCTGGTTTCGCCGTTAGTCTGGTGAGGTTTGAATCAGGTAGGCCGAAGTTTGAATCCTCTTGCTCATGTCTAATCTCATGCCAGTATCAGCGTCTTACCTACCTTCTCAACTATTTGTCCAACTCCTTGCACAACCCCCACGTGTCTCTTGCCTCCTTGTCTTGGACAGTTCCCTCTCTAACAACCAGCTCACCAACTCCATCCCCACTGACATTGGCATGCTGTCAAAGCTGGGATTCTTGTAAGTAGGGATGAGGTTCGGCCCAGGTTGAACCAAGCCAGGACGGCAAGAAAACCGTGCGACTGGTTCGGCCCGAAACGGGCTGGTAGAGCAGTTCATTGGCCCGGGTTCGGCAATGAGTACTCTGGCCATTCCTCCCGTCCGGTCCGTGTTCGGCCCAGGTCACTTTCGTTATAGTTTCAAGTTGTAACGATCTTGACGAAGCTTTTGAACCCACATTGCAGAAGTGGGGTGGGTGGGAGGGGAGGGAGGATATGCTGCCCCAATGGTCAGGGATCTTGTGTGCAAAATTACCAGATCTTGTGCAGCTTGCCTTACATTGCATTTGGATGGTTGGGATTTCTAAGTTTAGAGCGAACCAGAAACGGTTCGCCTCAAACCTGGAACCAGCTGGATAGACATGGGCTAAAGGTGACGCAAGCATTACCCGCTACGAGTAATCTTTGCCCTCGCTCGACTCGCTACTCGCAGAAAAGGACGAGTATTATTTACTCGTTACAAGCAAATAAAATACTTGTCGTGAGGCAAGTAATGCTCGCCTTGCCAGGAACACCCCCGAGGACACTCAAGTTAGCGTTAAAAAAATGTTCAACCATGCCTTCCCTTGGGCAGATTCCCAGAGGACAGTGTTTAATAAATTCGTGTTCTAGCCGAAAAACAGTAGATTCGCCAGTGCAATTGCCAGTCAGGAAACATGTCGCAGCGGAGTGGGTGCAGAGATTGTAGAGGTTGGTTTAGGTAGCAAAAGTGTTTAGTGCGGTTGGGGGATGCAATTGAGTTGAAAAGAAATTGGTGGTCTGAAAATCTCCTTGTTTGAGTTGGAGACATTTTGTCGCGCAGAAACACATTGTAGCAAAGAAACAAAGGCTTCGACCAACCACATTCAGATTCGAACCCCTGCTGGGGAAGGCTTAGTTGGAATATACGCTAGAATCTTTTTGCGTTTTGCGTTTATACGCGCTAAAAAAACGACCGCTGCGTTTCTGGTGTGGAAACGCAGAAAAACGCTCGGGCAGCCTGGGAAAAATATCAGAAGTTGGGTTTGTTGGGTGCAAAATGTATTTGCACGGCAACCTGCCGCCTATTCTTCGAGCAAGGTGAAAATCAAAGGTATATGGTTTAAGGTAATTTGGTCTGTGTAGAATGCGTATTTCTGTGCTCTTCATTTTGGCGTTTACGGTTTGTGAATCGCCGTAGCGGTTCTTGAGTTATGTGCATTTTAGTGTGAGGTTGCATTCATGCGTTTTCATGATTGTTCGTGTGTGTTTCGTGTGTTCGTGGCGTTTCACGAATGTGTGTGAAGCTCCGATGGTACGTGAGTGTTCATGGACCTTCGCGTTCTGTTTATGAGAGTTCGCGTGCTGTTCGTGCTCGTTCATGAGCGTTCATGTAAGATCATGTTCGCTCATGACTGTTTATGTTTCGTTCATGTTTGTTCAGGCTTGTTTATGTTTTCTTCATGAATTTCTGTGCACCTTTCATGAGTGTTTATGGTGTGTTTCTGGTGTGCTGGGTGTGGGGCTCGAGACTTTGACCAGCCCCTTTGACTAAGTCTTGCGCTGGTCAAGGCTCGAGGCCATGAGCCCGAGCCTTGTTGCGCAATCATGGGAGC